CCGGGAGGCCGGGGGCCCCGGGCCCGACCCCGGTGGGGCGGGCGAGCTCATCGTCAAGGAGTTGGACCTCGCCTCGCTGCGCTCGGTGCGCGCCTTCTGTCAGGAGATGCTCCAGGTGTGGGGCCGGGGTCGGGGCCGGGCGGGCGGGCGGGCGCCTGGCGTGGACGGGGTGACCTTGGGAATGACACCTGCACTGGAAACGCCAAGGACTTTGGGCTTGGGATTCACTCGCGGACGTGACAGATGCACACAGTGCCCTCCAAGGAGACTGAGAAAATAGAGGGCCCCAATGGAAACAAGCCCTTTTCTGGACGTTTCCATTTGTTGCGTGAGCACAAGCAGAAGTAGGTTCGCCAGGCCTCTGTCCGGGTCTTCCCGTGTCTGAACCGAGCCTGCTCCCTGCACCAAGCCCTGGCTTCTCCTCGAGAGCGCTAGAGCAGGTGGAGGAAGTTGCTAGTCGAGGACCTCAGAGCAGGCCTTTCATTAAAAAAATAATAATAATAAATGCTGCTAGGAAGTTTAGCTCTGGTCCATCATGCCATCATGATCTCCAGCCTTAGCCAGGCCCTGACCTGATTCAACCAACAGCTTAGCATCCCAGGGTCCATGCGCCAAGCAGTGACACAAATAAAACAAGATGCCTAGAATTTATTGATGGTTCATTATGTGTTGGGTACTATGCCAAGCCCTGCAGATAGGTTTTTTAAATGAAATCAAAGATCCTTGAGCTGTTATTGTCTGAATTCTCTCTCATCCCGTGAGGTTGGCTCGTTTCCCCTATTTTCTACATAAGGCACAAAGTCGCAGGCTCAGTAGCCTACCCAGGGCCTTGCTTTTAACCCCTGTCTCTTTGTAGAGGTAATTATTTTTTCATGAAAGTAGATGACTGCTAGACTGACATAGAGGGTTTCTTTGCATTTCATGCAAAGTAACATTCAGAGGAGTGAGGTTTAAAATTAGTTGACGTGGAAAATAGAATCTCAAATCCAGTGCAGAGGTGCCCAAACTCAATTTTTTTTTAAAGATTTATTTATTTATGCATACAGAACTGAGGTACAGGCCAGAGGTGCAGGAGCAGTTGAGAGTCTTCACCAGAGACAGAGTGGGGAGCAGAACAGGCCGACTGACAATGTACACTGCTGTGGGGAGCAGCGGGCCGGTCAGGAGAAGTCTGCGGAGGCCATGTGGTTCACCCCCTGGCCAGGGATCGAACTTGTGATGTGGCTGCATCTAGCTTCATAGTGCTGTTGTGCTTTAACCCATTGCACCACCAGGGAGAGCCCTCAAATTTTTTTAAATGTTGTCCTTTGACCAAAAGGAACATCTACCAAGTAGTTAGACCCAAAAAGCCTAATATTTATGGCAAACAACTTAACAGCTGTCTGAAAAAAAATAATACACATAATTGAATTGTTTTTTAATTTTCATCCTTCAATGACCGTAATTATTTACTAAAGGGAAATGTGACCTGTTGATCACCCCAAACCTCTCAGACTTTTGAGTCAGAGTGGACATTTCTTGCTCTACATTGATTTTTAGCACGGTATTTGTATTTTACTATAGAAACTACTAAGCTATTAAGCTTTGCAAAGATTTGACATCAAAAGGAATATCATACAATATGTGATTGCAACTGTGAACCACCAGCGCTAGTAGTTTTTGAGGTGCAACATGTCATTTTGTTTCCTTGAAAATTCAAAATATGTCAATATTCTGAATGTTCCTTGGGCTGTCATGGCACCCTGATGCACAGTACAGGGCTGTGGCAGATACAGAGAGGGGTGTGGGCTACTATTTTATCAAGAACTAGTGCTAATAGTTATAGAAGAAGGTCTTTCTATTCATGAAAACATAGCTGCATTAAGGATAGTCCTCATTCCTGACCCCGATGGTATTTTGCTACTTTGGCCACATGAAGCAGAACAAATTAAGAAGTAAGGGAATAAAGACATAATTAAGTTGTCCTTTCCTCAAAATATTCCTTTCCTCACTCTGATTCACCAACTGTCACCAGATTAAAAACAAACAAACAAAAAAAGGAAGTGTTAATTTCTCGCAGGTTGGCATTCTTGGTATTTAGGTGATTTATCTCCTAGAATTAAAAAAATAGTAAAATGATAAGGTCTTAAAATAACACCCCACAAAGAATGATGCCTCTGAAATGATTAATTCAGGAAACTATTCCAAGGGATTAGTGAAAAAGAATACTCCTTTCTTTCCCCCAAGGGTGAACTCTTGCTTTCCTTTTGAAGTTGACCATTGGAAAGCAAGAGGTGCTTGCACAGACAGATGAGAAACAGTTAATCCTCTGACAGGTAGGCTTTGATAAGGGTTGTGCAATTTTAACACATTTTTCTTTTCACTTATACTTGGCAAAAAAGACCAGTAAAATTTGAAATGTGACCTGTCAATTAAATTATGGGTCATACTGTGTCTTACACCTGGAAAGTGTATTACATTTTTCTTTGCATTAAGAGAGACAGAAGAGCCAGGAAAGGGTAGGGATACCCAAATTAATTAAGCAATGAAAACACTTCCTTTTGAGGATAGTCTACACTTTGTGATTTAATCTGCACATATATACAGAAGGATACAGTTAAAGTCACAAATTCTCGCCATCTAGATCTAATTTGAAGTTCCCTCAGCTGAAAGAGGTAATTTCGTGTAGAAAAAAATAAATAAATAAATTCTACAGTTAAGGAGGCCAAGGGTGTTTGTTGAGCCTACCTGCTCTGTTACTCACCTTTGCTGTTACCATGATCTGTAGTATTCATGATTTTTTATGTTGATTCTGATATTACCTATTTGTTTTTTTAATCTTCCTTTGATTCATTCAAGATATTCTTTCCAGTCTTAATTGACATCCATTCTCACTATTGCTTGTCTCAAGTTTAAGGAAACAACTGGGAAGTTAGTCCATTCCCATGGCATCTTTTACACTTAGAAAACTATAGAATAAAGCAAGCTTAACTTTCCTCAGGTGGTTGTGCTTACACCATTAGCTCTGAGGATAACCAGTGCTGTTTCCTGTGGTATTTCTGCTCTCTAACTCATGTGGACTCTGTGATCTGAAAATCACAATTAGAAAAGCAATAGCCTACTACTCCCTTAGAACAGGGGCATTGGTAATGGAATATTTCAGTTAGGATTTTGTCACATAGGAGGCCCTGGCTCAGATCACCTGAGTACTTGTTACTTATGGAATTGTTGAAAGTAGATGGGATAATGTGTAAAATGAGTAAGGTTAAACTCCCACTCACACCCAGACCTTTTTTCCCCTCAGAGTTCAAAACTCAGAAGCAATTTAAATAATTTTAGTTGCTTGTAAGAATTTTTTTAAGTTATTATATTTAGCCCTGTATCCCTAAGTCTGTGGTTCTCTTCAACATTTAAAGGAAGAGGATAGACTGGACGTCTTGATCAATAATGCGGGAATCTTCCAGTGCCCGTATATGAAGACTGAAGATGGATTTGAGATGCAGTTTGGCGTGAATCACCTAGGGCACTTCCTGCTCACCAACCTTCTCCTCGGACTCCTCAAAAGTTCAGCTCCCAGCAGAATTGTGGTGGTTTCTTCCAAACTTTATAAATATGGAGACATAAACTTTGAAGACTTGAACAGTGAACAAAGCTACAATAAGAGTTTTTGCTATAGTCGAAGCAAGCTAGCTAACATTCTTTTTACCAAAGAACTGGCCCGCCGCTTAGAGGGCACAGATGTTACTGCCAATGTATTGCACCCTGGTATCGTGCGGACTAACCTTGGGAGGCACATACACATTCCACTGGTGATCAAACCGCTTTTCAATTTGGTGTCCTGGGCTTTTTTCAAAACTCCAGTGGAAGGTGCCCAGACTTCGGTTTACTTAGCCTCTTCACCTGAGGTAGAAGGTGTGTCAGGGAGGTACTTTGGGGATTGTAAAGAGGAAGAACTATTGCCCAAAGCTATGGATGAGGCAGTTGCAAGAAAACTCTGGGATATCAGTGAAGTAATGGTTGGCATGTTAAAATAGGAACAAAGACTAAAAGAGCTACTCACGCAACTATCAGTTATATCAGGGATCAGAAAGGGTAGGGCTAGAGCAGTCTTTGGCAAAAAACAATTTGGGTTTTTTTTTTGCTAAGAGGTATATGTGGATATTTTGAAGTTAACTAAAAGTTACTTTTTGGAGAAAACTATTTCAGAAAACATCTTGATTGTACACAATATGTATGATGAACAATATAATTGAATATATCTTTAAAAATATAAGTGGATAAGCATGGCTTACAGATACTGCATTCAGTAAAAGTTGTTCGAGTACCTTTCAGTTTATGCCAATGCTGAGTACTTTCTAACTGCTGACTTTTGTGTGGACGTGGTATATGTGTGCAGTTCTTACTTGGAATAAATTGACTGATGCCAGTTCTTTCCTGTGTATTTCTTTAGAAGTTGTAGTTGACCCTGCTGATTGCTGCTTTGCACATTTCCATTACAGTGGGTTTCCAGCCTTATTTCTCTTGTAAAGCTGTAGAATTCTTTTTTCAAAAGAAGTCTCATTCAAATATGAAAGCTGCTCAGGTCAAACATGTCAGCAGTGCCATAAGGGTGGAGTACCTCACCACTATTCCTGAAGGAATTTTGTAAGATGTGGTTTACAAACCATGTTTACTCAAAGTTTCAACTCATGGACTGGGCTTTTGTAGCCCTATGACACTTGGTGCTACCCAAAGAACTCTACAATGATGAAAAGACTTCTGTCTGCACTCTTCAATATGGTAGACTAAGTACGTGATCACTGAGTACCTGAAATCCAAGAACTGCATTTCTAATCTTATTCACTATTAATAAAATTTTTAAGTGACCAGATGCACCTAATGACTAATGTCTTGCACAACACTGTCAATTCAGTGTATCATCCCAAATACCCTTCTTTGATTTGGAATACTTGCCCTTAACATTTCCCTGAGGTGTGTTCCTTCCTCTTCATTCCTCTAGGCGAAACCAACTCTCTACTTGGTTTTCATTGTTCCTGGCAGACTTACTGAGAAATAAGTACATTTGTCCTCAAGTCCAACTAGACAACTGGAATTCTCCAAGGAAAAGTGATACTATATTTTTATTAATTTTCCTTCTTCAAAGAATCAAGTCTAGTACTTGACACGATAAACATTGAATAATAATGTCTGAATGAACAATAATTTATTAATGGTGTGCTTAAAAAAATTGAGTCCAGGCATCTAGTTACAACATCAGAAATACCTAGTAATTTTCATTTTTGTCTCCAGTCCCTGTTATTCAAAAAAAGAATAAGGATAAACTAAACTCACTGACTTTAAAGACCGTTTGGGTCAAAATAATTCTTGATTGGTTATTATTTTAAGACTATAATATCTCATTATGAGTATCAGTTCTTTTTGAGAATGGCAGGATATTGGCAGATCATATAGAATGTTTTCTGTTAGAGCACTGGGGTTATGAATCTGAGAAACTCAGCACAGGTGTGTCTTTGCAGGTGTTACAGGTATACATTTCTTTGAAATGTGTTTTTTTCAAAATAAGCCTGCAAAGAAACCTACTGAACTTAGAAATATGGGCAGGAAATATACCTGAATGCAACTTGGATAACTACAAGCTAGTAAATCTGTCTTACACCTTGACTTCATTAAAAGGGAAACTTTTTTCTCCTCCACTTTTTTCCTGACTGCATTTTGATATCTGATGCTTTTCAGGGGATTTGGGTCTTTGTAAGGGTTGAGCCTTTCAGAGTTCTTGTTTGTAGCACCATAATAAAACAGAATATATTAATTTATCATGATGGAAAACTGGAAACTCATCTAGAAACACCAACTATTAAGGTAAAATGAGCTGCCATTTGGAAGATGTCCTTCCCACCCGGTGTTTGATGGAATAGACGATTAATAGCTATGGTATGACTAGTTAGATTCTAAAGATTATATTTAAGTTTTGCTTCACTCTGCCCTCCCTGCTGCCAACTTACTTTTACATTTCACTGAGTCTAAATAAAAGGCAATTCTGTTACCCTGATACTCTCACCCTTAGCAAGACTGTGACAAGAGTATGTAATGTGATGTGCCAGACATGCAATAATTGCATCGGGAACACATTTCTGCATTGGTTATTAACATCAAGTTACTTAACTCATCTGAAATGTTTTTTTATGGAGATATAAACGCCTACTGATCGCTTGGTGAGTAACAGACAGCCTATAAAGTGTTTAGCAAAGCACCTGGCACTTAAGAATTCACCCACTTCCTCTTCCCAGTGTCCCTGTGGTCACAATAAATAAATAGGAAAAGCAATTACTATGGTAATGTGTAGGTGGGTGCATATGATGGAAATAAAACCCCACCAAATTGGCTTTAAAGAGACTGAATTATAAATATGGAATATTATTGGGATACATGTTACATTTTTTTTCTTTTATAATCCTTTAAAAATGTAAAACCTATTGTTCGCTCCAGACCACACGATTGTACTTAAGCCACAAGTCACACAAGCCCGATGTACTCACTTGTTTGTTGTGGTCCATACTGTAGCTCCTGTTTCTAAGTAAAGCTTGGAGTTTCTCCCTTAAATTTGTAATCTTCCATAACCCTTTGCTTATAGACCCAGGAAGTCTAGAGAGTATATTTTTAAAATCTTTCCAGCTATAGATTCTGGTGTGAGAAATAGCAGTTATCTGCCTTCAACTTTTTCCCCTAACAAACCTGCTGGGTCTGGCCAGAGATCTGAGAGAATCTATATTTGAATTTTTAATTGATTCCAAATGTCCTAAGGAACTCTGAAGAGAGAACATGTTACCAATCACGCTTTGGAACTCAGCCCCCACAGACAGCTTCAGATGTTTCACAAATGCTCTCTGGACAATGGGGAGTTAAATGAGTTACAGGTTAACATGGAATAAGGTAGTTTACTCCTAGAGGAAAGTTAAATGGAAGACTCAGTTTTATGCAGACAGGAAGAGTTTTCACTAAGTAGATGCTAATCAAAATACAGTAGCCACACTTAACCAACCATCACCTAACAATCACTGTAATAACCAAGTCTTCATTCTTGTAAAACATACTGCTAGAAAGGGCAATGCTAAGTGGAATAACTGGAGAAATATAAATACTGGTTGGTGTCACTAGTGTGGAATATACAGTGACTAAACCAAGAGAAAAACACAAGCTTCGAAACTCACCCTTGTAGCTGACTACAGAACTGAAATGCCATGTGAGGATTGTGCAGGCGAGGGCAAGAGGACAAAGAGGAAAGGGAACACACAGGAATAGGGTACTGGATGAGGGCTGTTTGGTGGTAGGTGCACGACCACGGTAATACCCAGTGACGGTGTTACAGGGCAGCCCAGAGTGAACCAGGCTGCCTGTCTGTGGGGCCTCACCCACGCGCTTAAATTTAGTTATATTGCAGACACACAAAAGGGTCACAATGGGTTAATTTACAAAAGGGAAAAAGTAAAGGAAACAACAACTGGAATATCTTGCCAGCTGGGCTGACTTGGAGCTCTGGCAATAAACTAACTGAAAGCTCCTCGTCACACAGTCCAGAGAGCCGTTTGCCGAGGGAGAGAGCGAGAAACGCAATGGCGCCCTATTTATCCCCCCAATGTCCCAGAATTCCTGCTAGCTCCACCCTTGGGTCCTCACAGTTCTCTCCCTGGTACTGCTGGGAGTTGTAGTTTCCAGAAAGGTAGTTTCTGGGCATAGAGTCCAGAAAGCTGGAGTAGGGAGTGGAGTCCACAAAACTCTGCAGAGGTCCTTTTGGACATCCTTCCCCTTAAAAGGGGTACCCACGGCCCTCCCTGGTGGCGCAGCGGGTTAAAGCACAGCATTGAGAAGCTAAAGCCACTTCCGCATGAGTTAGATCCCTGCCCTGGAGGTGACCACATGGCGCGGCAGACCTCTCCTGACCTGCCCTCTGCTCCCTTCAGCAGTGTACTTTGTAGATCTCTCTGTTCTGCTCCCCGCTCTGTCTCTGGTGAATCCTCTCACCCTCCACATCTCTGGCCTGTACCCCAGTTCTGTATGAATAATAAATCTTAAAAAAGGGGGTACCCACACAGTACCTCAAAAACAAATACACAAGAAAATAGACTGCTGGGTGGACAAGGATCTGGGCAGGTAGCCTCCCTCTAACACACCCTGCCCTCTTCTCCCACCTGCTCTGTTACATACTTGGGAAGAGTGAGCTTTGTGCTGTTCATTTAGCACATAGATACTGACTACCTGTTTTATGCCCGGCATTATACTAAGATCTGGGGACACTCAGGCAACAAAAGACCATTCAAACTTGCATGTGTGTGTGTTAATTGTTCTTATTAGTCATGATATACAATACTAATCCTAATGCAAATCAAAGAAATCTGAGCACAAAGAATTTCTATGAAAGAAGAACCTGAAAGTTTTGTAAAAACTAGATGAAGGCAAATCACCAGAAACAGACCGCTGAGTAAAGTGTAAAAACAACTCTACAATACTAAAATAAACACCATACAAGTCTAAAAGAGGTCTACATTCAGTTCTTGGCAAGGGACTTCAACCTCTAGCTCCATTTTAGACACCAAAGCTGGAAATCATACACTATATTATTTGAGTATAATACAAGATGATGGAAATAATTCATACTCCAGGTTAAAAAGACTGGTAGCACAGCGGGTTAAAGCACAGCCCTAAGAAGCTAAGGCCACTTCAGCATGAATTTGATCCCTGCCTGCCCCGGAGGTGACCCACATGGTGCAACAGACCTCTCCTGACCCATCCGCTGCTCCCCTCAGCAATGTACTTCGTCAGTCTGCCCGTTCTGCTCCCCACTCTGTCTCTGGTGAATCCTCTCACCACCCCTGCATCTCTGGCCTGTACCCCAGTTCTGTATGCACAAATAAATCTTTTAAAAAAATGCTTTTAAAAAAGACTATTAAACACTTAACTTTACATCAGAAAACAAGCAAATGAATGCTGAGTTCAAATGTGTGATTTCTGTCTTTAACATTCATTAACCTGCCAATTCCAAATAAAAAAATTTCTGTTATGAAATAGATCACCGACTAAAGTGTTTAGTTGGGAAGAATTGGCAATATGTGTGTTCTGTATAGTGAATCATTTTCCCATAAACGTTCAAATTTGGGAAATGTTTTATCTTTTAAATATCCCAATATACCTAAATGCCTTTTTGGTATATTTGGTCCTGAGTTCTTAAAGACTAAGTCAAATTATAATCACTGACCTTGTGTTTGTTCCTCATTTAAAACACCTACTATATGTGTCAATTAGGTAAGTTGCTGAATATTTGATAGTTATTTTTCAGTATCTCATTTTATCATTTGACATTGATAGTTATATATGATAGTTTCCAGCCTGGTCTGTCCTAAGTTGCAGGTTGCAAAGTATTCAAAAAAGAAAAAAA